TTCTTCACATGTCTCCTGTCTTTCTATTTAAGGACCATACAAGGAAGCCCCTCTGTTGACCAGCAGGACCCCATCGTGTCCTCTGGAGTGAGACTGACTGACACCCTCAGTTGTAGCTCTGATGTCAGATAGGACACATTAGCTCTGTCCAACGATGAGAACATTATCCCATTCCGGCCCCTTGGCTGGGCTTTCTCAGGCTGTCTTCCTTCTGGCCAAGGTGGATTGTACCCATGCGGGCCAGTTCAGATGTTATGGGCAGTACAACCTCTCCCAAGAGCAGTCAGCCCCAGTGACCCTGTGGACATCTTGGTCACAGGTGAATAGGCCCTGAGGGGGTTATCCAAGTCGTCTAACTCTGCACAAGATCTCTATCGGATGTTCTAGGAGGGCGGTTGCTGTGAACCAAAATGTGGGGTTAGCACAGAGGGGGAAACACAAAAAGATACAAGTGTGGGATCCAGCCCCACAGTCGAACGGGTCCTTAGGAGCAACATGGGCAATGAAAGTAAACAAAGAAGACAGAGAAGCAGGGCACAGGGTTCGAATGTCCTCTCTTGGGAGAAACGCAGCCTTGGGTTGCTTTCACAATGAGGTTATAGAGTCAGGGGGCCTGCAAGGGTCCATTCAGCATCTACACAATAGAATGGACAGTGTCTTATCCTTGGATGTCCTGAGCTAGCTAGGGCAGTGGTTCTCAACCTGTGGGTCGTGACCCCTTTGGGGGGATCGAACGACCCATTCACAGGGGTCGCCCGATTCATAACAGTAGCAAAATGACAGTGACGAAGTAGCAACGGAAATAATGTTATGGTTGGGGGGTCACCACCCCACGAGGAACTGTATGAAAGGGTCACGGCATGAGGAAGGTTGAGAACCACTGATCTAGGGGAACACTTCATGATAAGTGTTGGGCATCGAAAGGAGCCCACCACCCTGCTCTTGAAGAGAGACATTCTTGAGCTGAATATTGAGGAGCCAGGGCCCTGTGAGAGACAGCTTTATTTAGCATTTTAACGGAGGGCAGTTGGGGAGACATCTCTCTCTCTGAGAAGGTGTTTCTGACGTTATCCCTGTCTTGGGACGGTGGACGTCTTCCTCTCAACACTAGGGCTGTTCTTCCAAGCCCTGCTGTCAGGAGTGTAGCGATTAGGCGGCATTCACTCTCTTCCAGGTCCCCAGTCTCCCACAGACTACGATGGAAAGAGAGATGGTGAGAGAAGACAGAGAGACAGAGTTCTTCAGCCTAAGCACCTGGCGAATCCTCAGCCCCATTGACTTGAACACAGGGCAGCCCCTCACTCTTCCTTCTCTCCAGGGGCTCCCCTAAACACCCACACTAAGTCACGTCCAGGCCTCACAGTGGCCTCCAGAGAACATGACCTGGCAGTGTGCTTCCCTGAACCAAGTGGGCACTTGCTTACTGTCGAGGGAGGGAGAAATCAGTACCTCCTGCCTCTGAGAGCCCAGCACCACTGTCCACTACCACAGGCCCACTTCACCACGAGCCTTGTGACCTCAGCCCCCACAAGGACCTATAGGTGTTACAGTTCCCTCAGCACCTCTCCGTACCTGTTGTCACACCCCAGGGAGCTCCTGGAGATCATGGTCTCCTGAGTGGGCGCCCTGTCCATATCCCGTCTCTGTCCTGCTGGTTGGGCAGGGCTGAGTCCCTAGGAGAGACTCCTGCTGGGGTGCGAATGAGATGGTTGGGCTCTCTGGGTGAAAGAGGCCCACAGAGCTATCCAACCCATGCCCCTGAAATAGTCTTCATGGTGGGTCTTAAGTGTCCTGGGTGAGTGGGGAGGAGGGCTTTGGGGGAAAACATAGAAGAGGAACATTTGAGCTGAGATAGGTGCCTCCAGGGACACCCCAACTTCTCACCATCTTCTTGTCCCATTCTAGCACCGCCTGGTAGCCCCAGCCCTCCGCCCACAGAGCGCACTGGTAGCCCCAGCCCTCCACCCACAGAGCGCAACCCAACAGTTGGTAAGTCACATGGACCTCTGTCCTGAGAGTTTACCATTGTCCCCTCCCACTCCCCCCCTACCCACCCCCAGTCTTCCCTGCAAGTGTCTCACCTGATCTAATTCTCAGGCCTGGGTAGGCAACTGGGCCCAGCTGAGGGTGTGACCATAGGATTCCCATGTGATCTGGGCCTGTGGCCGGATGGGAAGTGGGTGGTTAAGGCAGACACGTACGCAGGTGGATCCCAGTCCAGAGGAAGGGCCGTCTGGACAGCGTGTGGGAGAGCGCCAACCCCAGCCCTCACCCCCAAGCTCCTGACTGCCAGGAGACGTTGAAGTTCCGTGAAGGCATCCCCTTCGTTTAGGAGGACTTGGGAGCCACCCACAGAGGAGGAGGGCTCCCTCCCTGGTGGTGACTCTGGACAGTCCTCTTTTTCTAAACGGGGCAGCCTTTCTCCATCGGTGACAGAAGAGACCCCGGCTGAGATCTCAAAGGCCCTTTCAGCTCCGACCCACAGGGAAGCTCTCCCACGTCTGCCGAAGTGAAAAGTGGCCGTGGGAGGCTCTCAGGGCAGCAGAGGCGAGCGGAGAAATTGCACAAGTGAGGCCTGGCTGCGTAGCAGTTAGCAGTTTGAAACCTCCAGCCAGTTCCATAGCGGAAAGATGAGGCTTTCGATTCCCAGGACGATTTCCAGTCTTGGAACCCCACAGGGGTCGTTCCACTCCACCGTACAGGGTCGCTGCGCATCAGCATCAGCTCCGTGGCAGTGAGTTAGGCTAAGGGGCACCAGGGGGCAATCCCTAAGTCCTGCTCTCCCCCGGTTTCCAGATGAATACATGCTGATCGTGTCGATGCGAAGGAAAAGCCTGAACTCCCCCCCACGGCCCCATATGATTTCCCAGTGTGTTCAGGTCATGCCTAGGGTTGGGTGCAGGCGAGGAGACCCTGGGGTGCCTGGGCTGAAGCAACCGCAGCAGCAGGAAGCAGTGCTGAAAGAGGGCTTCCTGGAGCCACTCAGGCCAGCAGAGCGTGGTCTGGCTGTTGCTCTGAGTCAGCTCCTGCTCATGGCCCCCATGGGTGTAGGGTCCAACTGCTTCAGTGGGTACCCTTTCAGAAGGAGCTCACCAGGTATAATAACTCTCAGGTGCCCTGGGGTTTGGGGTGGGAGGTGGGGAGCACATTTCCGACTGGCAAAGTTGGTGCTCAGACGCCGAGTAGTTTACGGGTTGCCCTACCTAGGGAGCCTTGTAAATTCGTTCCTACCAGCATTATGGAAGCAGCTCTGTTGAGAAAGGATACCTGATGACAACAGCTAGACAAAGCTAGAATGTGGGCATCAGACAGCCTTGGGCACTGTCGCCTCTTGGCCAGGTGATCTGGCTCCCCCAGCTGTTAAATGGGTGGGATGGAAAGGGCCCATTCTAGGTCACACGATGACTATGGTGACCAGAGATCATGAGTGCCAAGACCCAGCATGTGCCTAGCACGGAGTAGGTGTTCAATAAAATGGGCACCCTTGGCTTACCACATGCCATTAAATTCATCTTGCTCTCTTGTGTCCCAAAGGCCTCAAGAGGTACCTGCCCGTTCTAATAGGAGTCTCCATAGCCTTTGCTTTGCTTCTCTTCCTCCTCCTCCTCTTCCTTCTCCTCCAACGTCAATGCCGGAGAAAGGAGTCAGGTGAGTCGAGGGTGGGGACACCTGGGCTACCCGAGAAGCGAGATCTTACTTTCAAGACAAATGAACTGGATTCCTGGGCATTAGCCAAAATTGGGCATTGAAGAGATGGAAATGTGTTCGATTTTGATAAAGTGGTCGTCAAATAAGCCAGACCCTCAAAAGATCAAGAAAGCCTTTCCCATTCTGCCTTCCCCTGCATGGCCTTCTTGACGCAGGGTCCCAGATGCCAGGGAAGTGTGATGGCGAGGGGAGGGAGGGCAGGTGGAGACCCAGGTGATGTATCCAACACGCAGGATGTTGGTGATGGCCAGGGGTTTCCGTGGGAAACCACCAGCATCCCCCAGCCAAGGAAGCAGGGCAGTAAGCAGTGAGCACGCACAGGGGACAGTTGGAGAGGCTCCCAGAATCCTTGGAGGATGGTTTGCTTTGAGGGAAGACATAAGTATATTGAAGACTACGGGAACCACGTTTTTGTTTCCTAGGCTTGTTGTAGCATTCCCCCCACCCCCACCCCCACCCCCAAACTGGCTGGCTTATAAACACGACATTTGTGACATGTGGATCTCCAGAGAAATGTGATGGCCAGACCACAGTCCCTCCCTGAAGGCCCTAGGGAAGACCCTTTCTGGTCTCTTCCAGCTTCTGCTAGCCCCGGGCAGTCCTTGGCTTGTAGATACCTCTACACCTGCTCATTCCTCCTCTGTCCCCGTCTTTCTGTGTCTCCTCCTTGTTTACAAGGACAGCCCCGAGACAGGATGTTTTATTAAGTTTAAAAGTTTATTTTAATAGTTTTATTGACATATGAGATAGGATGAAGACGTTCTGGTGGGATGGTGGATTCCAAGTTGGGCTGCTACCTGAAAGGTCTGCAATTGGACTCATCGTCCACTCTGGTGGACAGAGAGGAGGATTTCTGCCCCCTGTAAATAGCCGGAGTCTCGGAAGTCCAAAGGGACAGTTCTACTCTGTCTTCTGCCCAGACCAGACCCACTGCCGTATGAGTCAATAAGGACTCCTAGCGACTCCCTGTAGGTTTCTGAGACTAACTGTTTATGGGAGTAGAAAGCCCAGTCTCCCGAGAACCTGCTGGTGGTTTCGAACTGCCGATTATGTAGATCGCATCCCAACACTGCACCACCTCCTTACTCTTCCCTGTAGTGCCACTACAAAGGATTGACTTGATGGCAATGAGGTATTTTTGGATTTTTTTTAAAAGATAGAATTGAGACCCATTCAACTGCAGTGTGACCACATCTTTATTTAACCAAAGCCACCCTCAAAGCCCTCTTTCCAACCACAAGGAACCTCATGCCTCTGTCGTAAGCTTTGTACTGCTGACCCCAAGGTCGGTGGTTCAAACCCACCAGCTGCTCTGTGGGAGAGAGGTGAGACTATCGACTCCTGTGAAGATTTACAAAGCCCAGGAAACCCTCTATGGGGTCTCTATGAGTTGGAACAGATTTGAAGACAGTCGATTTTTCACATGTTAAGATTCCCAACCACAGTCATAAGCACAGGTTCCAAGGATTAGGATTTCAGCATGTATTTGCTGAGGGGAGGGCTGGGTGAGACGAGCCCCAATTGATGACACATACTCATTGTACATAAACGGATTTAAATATGGAAGGGAAAGAGGCAAGAAAACAAAAGAAAAACCACCGATGTTTTATTGGGTTTTAAATGTCAGTAGATCCTTGTAAAAATGAATCATATGTATCAATTGATATAGACATCATTCTAGGTGCACTGGTATTTGTGTGTGTGTGTGTTCACACTCACATGAACACGCAGTTTCGTTTCTTTTTCCTCCCCATTGTTCTGTGATCTATAATTTTTAAACAATTATTTTATTGGGGGCTCATACAATTCTCATCACAATCCATCCATCCATCCATCCATCCATTGTGTCAAGCACATATGCACATTTGTTGCCCACATCATTCTCAAAACATTTGCCTCCCACTCTAGCCCCTAATATCAGTTGCTCATTTCCCCCCTCCCTCCCTGTCCCCCCTCCCTCATGAACCCTTCATAGTTCAAAAATTATCATAGTTTTGTCATAAGTTACCCTGACGTGGACACGCATCTTCTAACTGCATTCACTCAGAATACCTAGAATTGACACTAGCCCCAGAGCCAGTGACGCCACCAACGATCAAGGTCTTGGTTTCTAAGGACCATCTACTGAAGGAAACGAAGAACACACTGTCAAGGAGGACGAGACTGTTCCCTTCAGAGGAATTAGCCACTGACAGCCTTATGGAGCCCGTGGAATAATTGTCAGACCCTGAGGCCCTCAGGAACATGAGCAGAACCTTGCGCACAGTGGCTGCAACCATGGGCTCCAGTGTAGGGGCCATTGTGAGGCTGGTTGGGGACCTGGATGGGTTTCGTTCTGTTGTGCAGAGGGCCCCTCTGAGTCTGAAATGGCGCAACAGCACCCAACAGCAACAGGAATGTGTGTAGACTATTCAGGATTGTAATTGCGTTCTTTTGGGGACTGAATTTTGGGACGACTTAAAGACTAGTTTCTCGCTTTCTCCAGGAGCTGCGGATTCTGATTCGGATGTTAAGATCAGAGCCCTCCCCCGAAGGTATATCCTTCCTCCAAGCGTGTCCCCCACCCACCTCCCACCCCTGTGCCAGATCTCCTGCCTCTGCTTGTAGCTCCTTCCCCACCCCACCATTCAATGCTCCCGATTTCCTCTCCCTCAGCTCCAGCTCCACCGCTGACCTCCAGGAGGAGGACCATTGTAAGTGGCAGAGGAGGCGTCTTTCCGGTGGGATTTAGAATTAGGGGAGTTGGCTGTGAAGCGTTCTGGGTTTGGGGGATGAAGATGCATACGGAAAGGACTCCGTGTGACCATAGACACATCACACACTCCGTGTGTCCCCCCAGCGTCCCCAGCTAAGATGGGGAGGGTCACGTAGGCTTGAAGGTTTCAGGAACCGAGCTACAGGACCTCTCTGTTTTGTGATTGCAGATGCGACCGTGAGTGACTTTCAGTCTCCAGCAGGAGAACGGGTGAGTACACCTGCCTCTGTCCTGGGAACCCACTACAGCCTGTGGGTAACTTAAGCCCACCAGAAGCTTCCCTGCCCTCGATTCCAGTGGCGTCTGACCGCTCCCTTCCTTTTCAACTGCGCTGCCCACTTGGTTACTGTGGCGCCACTCCCAGCTGTTTTTTCTCAAAAGTATATGTACTCTTTCTTGATTCCTTCTCAGAGGCCTTTGAATTCATGCTGTGCCCCCAGTCTCAGACTGGAAAGGACTCCAGCTACAGCTATGGGGCTTGTTTGCACACCACAAGCACAGCAAGGTCCTTGAGGGGCTAACAGGCATGGCTTTTCCTTCTTTGCCCAAAGACACCCATGGACAAATCCATCCGCGGTGTTTTCCTCTTACCTCCGTTGACTTTCTCTCCTCCATCCTGTGGGTCGAAATTAAAGGCAGTGCAGCAGTGCAGCGGAACTTGACGATGACGTGCCTTGGGTTCACAATGTATAATTGGCTCCTACATCCAAGCCATTTCATTGACCTCACCAGGATACAGTTTTGTACTTTATGGAGACAACTGTCTTTATTTTATTTTATTTTATTTTTTTAACATTTTATTAGGGGCTCATACAACTGTTATCCCAATCCATACACACATCAATTGTGTAAAGCGCATTTGTACAT